CGTAGAATTAAGGCAGTTCTGAAGGCGAAAGGGGGTCAAACACCGTATTAGTATGGTGTTCCTAATAATCCTTTAGGTGAGTGTATATGGAATTTGAATTTACAGGTAGTATTTACAAGCAAGATACATATAAGGAAGAGCATATAGATATGAATAGAGACGCTCCTCTACTTATGAACTTTCAACTTACGAACTTTCAGACATACGAATGAAGAGGACTGTAAGTCCAAATTGTGTTCATTTGGGCTCCCGTTTCCTGTCCGCATCATCAATATTTTTTTCAGTGCGCCAATTCCGCCTAGTACGACTTCTGGCCGCTACTCCCACCGTGCAGCAGCATAGTGTGCGTACTCCCAGCATCCTAGTTATTTGTACTTGCATATACTCTTAAAATGATTTGAATAACAACTTATAAACATTTCAAATTACGAACGGCCATTCGGAACGTATCTCATTCGTAAGTAGAGGAGCATCTGTACTGAGAATTTTTAAATAGAAATGTGAATAAATGAATAAATATAGATATAACAGGTGAAATATGCATAAAGTGCAGCAAAAAGTTATTGATATTTATGAAGGTCAGTTATTGAGTGGTAAGGGTTGAGAGATCAGAATGGTGATAGTATTGTTAAACTGTTACTGAGCTTGCTGGTGCAGGACCTATTGTTTGTGCTAATTGTGTAAACCAATTGTTTGTGCCACGTTTGTGCCATTAAAATTTTCGTTTGTGCTGTTTTAGTTTTTGAGATATACATGTTTTTTCTACATTTTAAATGGCACAAACTATAGAAACTGGTTAGGTTGAAATCGGATACAAATGTGGGGGGGGGGGCATATTAAGAAACATTAATAGCTCAGAAACTAGAACAAATAAAAATTTTAATGGCACAAACTGGCACAAATTTGGAGACCAATTTGGTTAAAATCTATAACTAAAGGGGGGCCAACTTAACGCAGGTGGGGCACCTATTATACAACAGTTAGTGCCAACCAAGGAATCTGATTGGACAAGAGGTGTTCTATGGTGCTGCTATCAGAGTATAACCACACTCAGACATTTCACACTGATGTGTCACTCTGCTTTACAGGTGTATCTAGAAACCATTACTTAGTCAAATTTAAATGATGCTTAATAGTTGGGCGCCAGTGAACTGAGTTGCCTTGGAATGTTAGTGTTGCTTGGCAACAGTTGGCTGATGGGAACTATTTTTTTGTAGAGGCCCGTAAATGTTTAAATAAATAATCAAGCAAATTATTATCTGTTGTGGCTTATTACAGTTATCTTACAAATGCTACTCGATCCACTGTTGTCTAAAAGTGTTGTATATAACACGTCATCAGGAGAACAAATGATAACGCAACAGAACGTTCTAAGGGGCAGCCCACCATGGTAAAGGTGAGGGAACAGATGCCCGAAGCTCGATTTTGAGATCAGCGCTAAATTAATCGATAGTTACTTTTAGAAGAAATATAATGCTGGCGGGGCGTCCCAAATTCACCCATCACAGGAACACCCGTCGCTCATAGCTAGCTAGGTTGGTTAGAATGAATGATGCAAAATAACGAAGATTTTCGAAAAAGTGACAGCCGTACTATAAAACAGTACGACGACTGCGCGTGTTATAATAGACGTCGTAACGTGAAAGTGGAGTATTTCTAGAAAACTAAGCTTTATTTGAACATTTGTTCTAAAACACAGTGTCAGTTTTATTGTTTATCTTATTTATTTTATTGTCGTTGTCTTTCACGAAAAGAATTTGAAAAGTTCTTGGAAACAATTTCCAGCTGTTGAAAAAGCGTATCTTATTTTTAAATTATTTAATGCAAAAGTTCCATGAAAATATGGTTGAAAATATGAAAGTGGGTAAACGTAGATTTTTGCTTTAGTCCTGCCTGTTTTGCTATCTGTAGCAATATTTTCGTTTGTCTGTGATGAAGCACTTTTAGTACATGAGTAACTTATGTAGATTCTCCAATGATGTTTCTATTCATAATGTTGTTTCCTTGCATAAGGCGACCACTAGACAACATGACAGTGCATATGTTTATTTATCTCGTAATTTGTTTCCCAAAAATGAGTTGAAGCCTTTTTCACTATAAAATAATTAAAATAGCCTAGGTCGTCACCATGGAAATAACCTTCTTTTATACAGGTTTGTGGCCCCTTACAAAAAATCCTTGTTGAATATGCATGCTCTTATACTTATGGTTGCATTGTTAATACTGAATATTAATGCAGTGTATTAATGATAAAAAAGAATAATAATGACTTAATGTTGAGATAAAATTATGTGTATTATAAGACCTACTTTTTTATTTGTTAATACTTAATTACATTGAAATAGTTTATCTCTACTTTGTGGTGGTAAGATATTGAATTAAATGTACTTTTTATCAGCTTAAGCAAGAAATATACAGATTTCCTGATGTTAAATGAAGCCACTGTGGTCTCTACTCACCTGCAGAGCAACGGCTTGCTGGAAAAAAAATAAATGAGCAACCAGATGTGAATGGAAATACCTGAATAGCAGTTCAGCGTATCCTTTGTAGTTAATGCTGGTTAGCAATATGCTTCCTCTGTTGTTGATGGGGCTGATATCTCAGCCTTACCTGAGGTTGTAATGATGTGCTTTGTCATGCAAATTAGCTTTCTCGAAAGATAAGGTGCAGCGTGTCCTTGCTGAAGGGCTGAGAGGGACAAAGCCATTGACAGGGATGAAGCAGAAGCTGCTGGGATTGTGGGGGAAAAAGGTGTAGCACCAGCAGAAGATCATAGCATCTGCAGGTACTTTCATCGTCTGTTGCGGGCAGCTGTTCTACTGCCTTCTATTCTGTGTGAATGTGAGGATGTACATGGATTACAGTACTAAGAAAAACCAACTGAATGATTAATGACATTTTTTCAGTGTCATTGTTTTAGTTTGCTAAATTTTAGTAAAACTCTTTTTTATAATGTCATTTTGTCCATGTCCTTATCCCTGGACTCCTGTCATGCCATTAAAAAAATCATGATTTAAAATGTTTCTGCTTTTAGATTCTTCTATGACCTATTCATACAGGTCCAGCACAAAGGTCCCGGATGAGAAGATGCAGGCGAAATGGCAGCTTCCTCTCTGAAACCGCAACTGTCTCCTGCTGATGGTCTATTTTGACTGAGGTAGGGAGAAAGTGAAAGTTGGCGTGAATCTGGATAATCTGTAAGTACTTGATCTGCTCTACTTTGTAGTATTGGAACATTTATCATTTGGTTTGTTCCTGAATGTGGAAAGAATGGTTTAACGGTTGATTTTCCCTTTGACTGCGCATGATCAAATAAAAAAAATGGACTACTGCCCCATCGCCATGGGTCATATTGCTGTTTTTGTTGCTGATATTTTGTATGGCATTTCACCGCACTGCCCGTGTTTGGAGTCCCCTTCCTCACATTTCCCTAGTTTAGATGTGAAAATAAACCTTGTCCCCCAAGCATGGATGTGGGGCTGTGTGTTTATAAAAACTGTTCCTAAAAATCCTTATGTGTCATTACCATCATGTAGCAGTGACATTTCTTTTTACGAGAAGTATCAATGAATTTGAGATTGAGAGATTTTGTCAGTGTTACCTAAAATGATGTTTGAAATCTTGTCCTCTAGAAGGCTAATCCTCTGATAAACTTCAGTGACTAAATAGTTTCTTTTGCTCTTACATCAAGAAGTCTATAGTGTCACCAGTGCTGGCAGGTGACCTGGTATCAGGACACAACAGGTGTTAATTGCTTCTGGTATATGCTGGAACCTTTGGCTGAGGCCTTAACCAACAATTAAAATTGATCAAAGGCCTACGATGTGATATACTTAGATTTCCAAAAGACCTTTGATGTTGTCCCCCACAAATGGGCTCTTTCTTAAGCTCAAAGCTACAGGGATTTTAGGAACTATAGCAGCTTGGATCGAAAACTGGTTAACAGACAGGAAACAGCGAGCAGTTATTAGAGGCACAATTTCACAGTGAGTCTGCGTTCATAGTGAGGTACCGCAGGGTTCAGTTTTAGGACCACTAATTTACATTAATGATATTGACACCAATATATACAGTAAACTGGTTAAATTTTCAGATGACACCACGGTGAGGTGGGTGGTGTAGCAGATACTGAACTAGCAGCACAGAGTGTTTACATCTTATATGCAAATGCTGTAGCATATTCAGTGCAGGAAATGTATTTCATTTGGCTTCTATATTTATATACTTATATATTCTATATTTCTTGAGGCTTTAGGGATCTCAAGAAAATTCAATCCTGGAATTTTTAAATTTATATACATTTACAGTGGTACCCCAGTTCTCAAACTCATTAGAACTCAAATTTCTTAAAAGTCGAACCAATCAGTTCGAAAAAAAAAATGACCTAGAACTCGATATGAATCTCAGGAGTCAAACCGTGAACACCAACCTAATGCGCGGGGAAGTGAGTCATGCGGCACATCTCTCAGCGGAAACATAGGGTAACGCTTCAGTCTAAGCTTCACATTCGCTGTGATAGCATCCTGCATGTTTACACTAGCTGAATACATATATTAAGACAGTAAAGATACATTTAGACAATGATAGACAGTAACAGTAATTATTATTAAATAATAAAATACATTTAAAAATAAAGATTTATTATTAATTATTTTAATATTAATAATAAACCATTAATACATTTAATTATAATAATATTGTCGTGGTCAGCGGGGATGGAATGGAGACAAAGGCGCAGACGTCAGGGTATCGGGGTATATGGGGTCTAATTACAGGTAAGGCAGGCAAAACGCAGACGGACAATACAATGACCGGGCTGGGGAAACAAACTGAAACACGGACGAAATACAGAGGGCTAATGACAACAACCAGAAACAGCTGATCACACAGGGATTCCACACGGGGTTAACGAGGGGCCGTGGCACACGGAAGGAACGGACGATCGGGGCAGGACACATTGTTTTTTTTTTAATTTTACACATTGTTTGGGTACATTTATTTTCTTACTTTACAAATTATACTGTTTTGATAAATGTGCTTAAATGTGTTTAGTACAGTATATGCTCTTATTGTTTTATAAGGTTCATTTTGTGTTTAAATGCTAAAAAAAAAAAATATTTAGGTGTAATTTTTTTGGGGCCGGGAACCAATTAATTGGTTTTCCATTATTTCTTATGGGGAAAATTCGATCACAACTCGAACTTTTTAGGATTCGATCCAGAGTTCTAAAGTGGGTTATTATCCATCTTTAGCTAATGAAACTAGCCTAGCTTTTACCATAGGCTAATAATCACTCGATTATGATTGGACCAAAATAGTCACATGACACATGCAGTTGAAAGACCATAAAATAGGTGCAATGTATATAATATTTGCAAAATATACAGTTTATTTTAAATAGAATCATTTTAAATAGAATAATAATATCATAATTTACATGTGTTACATTGTTAATAGTGAAATGAAAAATGAGTTTTGTAACATTAATAACGAATTGAGAGCTGAACAGGCTTCACCTGCAGCAGTGGCAGTGGGTTGAGGTTGGGGGGGCAGAGATGGCTTTTCTGTGAACATTTGAATATTGGTTTGGGGCTCAGTTTCAGAGCTGTTATACCATTATTTTATGTAGGTACATTACTCTCTTGATATTATGGAGAGTAAAAATAATTATAATCATGGGTAGTTAAATTTACATCCAGTTAAGTAAAAAGTTTTGCCATCCAAGCTAGTTCATTCCATCCATCTGTCCATCCATCCATTGTCTGCTCTTATCCAGGGCCAGGTTTATGGGGCAGTAGTCTAAGCAGGGATGCCCAGACCTCCCTCTCCCCAGCCACCTCCTCCAGCTCCTCTAGGGGAATATCATACCTTTCCCAGGCCAACTGAGAGTGATATTCTCTCCTGCATGTACTGGGTCTGCCCTGGAATCTCCTCCCGGTTGGAAATGCCTAAAACACCTCCCCAGGGAAGTGTCCAGGAGGCATCCTAGATAGATGCCTGAACCACATCAACTGGCTCCTTTCAACACAGAGGAGGAAACCACTCATCTATGAGCTCCTCAACCTCTTTTTAAGGCTGAGTCCAGACACATTGCGAAGGAAACGTATTTTTGCCGCTTGTATCTTACTCTTTCGGTCACTATCCAAATCTCATGACCATAGGTGAGGGTAGGAAGATAGATCGACTAGTAAATCGATAGTTTCTCTCTTTACTATGACAGAATGCTACAGCGTCCACATTACTGCTGATGCTGCACAAGTCTGCTTGTCGATGTCCCACTCCCTTCTTCCCTCACTTGTGAACAAGACCCTGAGTTACTCATACATAAACTCCTCTGCCTGAGGTACTAACTCATACCCAACCTGAACAGGGTAATCCACCTTTTCTGGTGGATAACCATGACCTCAGACTCGGAGGTGCTGATCTTCATCCTGGCCACTTCACACTCAGCTGCATACTGCCCATGCAGTGCATGTTGCAAGTTACAGCCCAATGAAGCCAACAGGACCACATCATTTGCAAAAAGCAAAGAGATGATCCTGAAGTCACCAAACTGGACCCCCTCTGCCCCCTGGCTATGCCTAGAAATTCTTTTCATAAAGGTTATGAACAGAATCGGTGACAAAGGGCAGCCATAGTGGAGTCCAAAATCCAAAATTTTACTAACTGCTTAATGGCTGACATGGTCTAAGCCATATCTGTCAGCATGAACTTTTGATGTTAATATGTAGGTATGGGATAGAGCACAGAATTCAGAACTAAATTGCTGATAGTTTATTCTACCATTATGGTATTTTTTACTTTACTAGTTTTGTGGTGTTCTACAGACTTCTTGTTACAGTGACTTCTTAATGCCATGATATGGTCAGCATGGCATTACATGCCTTTGATATTATTTGGATTTTACATGTAAAATTAACAGCTCTTCAGACCAAATAACTTTATTTAACTAGAGTTTGCATAAAAAATTATCAGTGGATCTTTTGGACATTTTGAGATGCAAGGCCTATCTTTAAGCAATGACTTTTTATTGTTTATGGTTTCTGTACTGATGAATTTTGGAGCACTCAACATGTAACGTACATAAAGGACTGAAATTTGAGTGGAGTAACAACCCCAAGCTCTCAGCATTCCCGCTAATAAATGGACTGCATATACAATACTCCCATTTTGTTTTTATCCAATTGTAATTAAGCAAGCAAAATACATGCTCTTCTGTACTGAATACATTCACCAAAAACAATATGGCATATTCAGGTCTGGGTTTACTGCACAAGTTGAATACTATTTGAGAAAATGCTGAAATAATGAATTCAAGAATAATATTCCCTAGTGGTGATTAAATGAATGGGGCAATATTTCATTTTCGGAAGTGGTTTGTTAATGCATATTTACAGGTTTACTTGTGGAACTCATGATTACGGTGAAGTGGCACAATATTATCAAATAATCCCGCTCTAGAGATCAGTACTGACACTCAGTGTTGGTTCATTAATTGAATTATTGTAATTTGATTGATATTGTTGTATTGTGCAGAACCGGAAAATGACGATAGTGATTTATGCTTCTCTGAGGGTTTAAATAAATCATGGAAGAGACAGAAGGTTTGTCAGATTTTTTTGGAGAATTACGTTTTATGTACCCTGAATGACATTTAATCACCTATTGGTCTTCTGAAACTGAAACAGAAAATACCAAACTGGCACTGTTATAAATGTTAAAAGTCCTAATTACTGACCCTCTCATTTGCATAATTACAATGATTTCCATCAGCAAGGCTAGTATGGAGATTGTAAATTGTGATGGACCTGAGAAAGCCAGAAAAAAAAAAATCTGGTTTAATGATGAATCTGTCGTTCAAGAGTTAGGCAGCCTGGCTTGAGTTTCAATAGGATTTTAAAAAGCCAACTATGTGCAGAAATGAGAATCTCTCCCCCCCTAAATCATATGGAATTACAGTCCTGGGTGCATGTGCCTACACACAAAAAAAGCCCAGAGGAAGCAGCTATTTCTGTTGGTTTTATTAAACCAACCAAGCAATTTAATTCTTTTGTTCCGGAGAGTTCTACTTCATTGATTAACAAAGGCAGGGATATAATTTTTTCAGCCTTTTTGAAAAGCCTGAAATGTCAAGCCTTTTAAAGCAGATTATTCTGC